AAAAAAAAAAAAAAAAAAAGGTTAGGTTAGGTTTTCCCTCAGGGGCACTACAGACTCATCCCTGTAGTGTACGGGTGTCGCAATCCCGAGGTACCCGAGCTGGAGTGTGTGGTGATGGATGAACGGGGCGTGATGGGCGTGCAGGCCCTAAAAAGGACTTGTCCACTGCACTAGGTGAAGGAAAACACCGAAGATAACACCGGGGGGGAGGCCCCGTTAGCTGAGTAAGGCAACCTCCTAAGGGAAGGAAAACCCCCGACAGAAAAAACCAATTTTTTCTTCTAGCAATCATGAGGAGTACAAAGAAGAAAGCGAACGTCCTGGGTTCGGATTCCAGGAACCGGCGTGGGGGGGGTGTAGGCCTGGCTTCCCCCTCGTCGTCATCAGACGACAGGTCGTCCGCAGTTTTGCCGGCTGGGCTGCGGACTGGAGAGCGACATCGCCGAGGTGTTGCAGGAGGACGAGGTGGAGAACCGGCTTATTAAGCTGGCCATCTGTGGGAGGACCGCGATAGGTCGGTTGACCCGAGGGACCTTGCGCTGAGGATTAGTCGGGTTCTTCGGAACGAGAAGGTGAGTGGCTTTCGGCATCTCGGGATATACCATAGGTTGTCCCGATATGCCGAAAGATACTTTCAAAAGTGCGCGAAGGGTGCGACCGAGTTTTGTGGGGCACACGTATGTGTCCCTGATGAGTCGCGGAAGAACTGTCGGCCTCCCTCTCCGGAGAGGCTGCGTGGCGACAGCGAGGAGGAGGCCCTTGAGGTCACCATGGGTGAAGACGCGTTGGGCGCTGCCTCTACCTCCTTAAGGGGTTGGATGGCGCGCTTGGCGTGTCGGAGCCTGAGGTTTCTCTCAGCCCGGTAGGGGTTCTCTCGGACGGGACTCGGTCCTGGCGGACAGCTGCCGGGACTATGCGGAGGAAAATCGCGAGCTCAAAAAGCGCGTTAGCGTGTTGGAGGCTTCCAACAGGGAGCTGCGCGAAGAATTGGAGGCGATGAAGCGTGCGGTGGCTCCCCTTCCTCCATCTTCAGGGGAGAAGGAGGCGCCTCCCGTGAAGAAGAGATCGCGGCGGAGGCGAGACAGAGAGGTGGTCTCTGAGCTAGAGTTTCCTGGCAAGGAGACCACTTCTGAGGTGCGGAGGACTCCGTTTGAGTCCTCATCTGTGGCTGCTTTGGGGGGGGATCCACACCAGCAGCTTTTAGCGCGGGTGGATCTCCTCATTGAGAGGCGTGTGACTGGGGCGGTTGAGGATCTGAGGAGGGCTGTTGAGTCCCTCAGGTCCTCCTTGGTTTCCCGGGGTGAGGGGGTGGGATCGTCTGCCCCTGCTCCCCTGGTCGGGGAGGTTTCCCCTGTCCTTTCTACGCCTGTGCGTGGAAGGCGGGGTCGCGGCGCGAAAAAGGTGGTTTCTTTCCGGGGCCTGGGTCCTCGCTCCCTTCGGTGGCTGATTCGGTCGCTGGGGGGATTGGGGCTTGGGGTCCCGGGAGGGTTTAGCAGGGGCTCCGCGCCCAAGGTTGGTTGCGCAGAAGAGGAGAAGGAGGCTGAACCGAGTATTTCGGCAGCCGAATTCAACGGCGGTTCATGTGACCTCTGTCGGCGATCGGAGGTCATACGCGGAGATATTGCGTGAGGCCAAGGGGAGTATTAGCCTGGAGGAGCTTGGTGTTCCTCCACTTAAGCTCAGATACACGCGCCACTGGGGGCCTGCTTTTGCAGATCCCTGGTGGAAACACCGGTGAGAAGGCGGACCTCTTGGCGGATCGTATTCGCGGTGTCTTTGCCGATCGCGAAGATGTGGTGGTATCCCGCCCTCAGAAAACATGGATCTTCGGATCCGTGGGACTATGGGGAGGGAATCGCCACTCGCGATGAGATTCGCGATGCCCTGGTGGCTTTGGGGGGGATGCTCGGTCGGGGATGTTCGGATCGGAGCGATTCGGACTCCCCGGGCTCTCCCTGGAGCACCGTGTGGGTGCGCTGCCCGGTGGCAGCGGCGCGTAGAGCTGGTGTCCGCGGGAGGATCAAGGTGGGGTGGGGAGTGTTGGGGGTGGAGCTGCTTAGCGCTCGCCCCCTTCGATGCTACCGTTGCCTCGAGGTGGGGCATACGCGACACCGTTGCTCGGGGGTACGGATCGCTCCGACCGCTGCTACCGTTGGTGGCGTGTCGGGCATCGCGCGGCGTCTTGTAGTGCCACGCCCCGTTGTCCGGTTTGTTCGGACAGGGGGGTGTTGGCGACTCATTCCCTGGGGGCTCGGGGTGTCTCTTTGGGTCTCCAGTTTCCGAGGTGGACGGTAGGCGCCGGGCTCCGGGTCGTCCCGATGGGGGACGAACCATGGAGATTGAGGTTGCCCCGATAGATGTTCCGGTTGTGGAGCGCGTGCGGGCTCCGGGGTCTCCCGCTGGGGGGCTCCTGTGAGCTTGGAGCGGGTGAGGGTGGAATGCGGTCTGCGCCGGGGGGGGTTGCCGAGAGGTGGCTCCCCTGTGCCGGGTTGCAGTTCTGCCCCTGATGTTTAGTGTTGTTTTTCGTCCATTGTCGTAGGGTGTAGCGGTGGATGCGGGGGGTTCCGGGGAGGTTGCCGAAAGGTGACTCCGTGGTCTCCCTGCTCCGCCAAGTTTTATGTTATTAGGTAGCGGCGATGGGTGTTGAGTGTCGGGGAGGTTGCCGAAAGGTGACTCTGCGGCCTCTTCACCCGCGCCAAGTTTATGTTAAGTCTTTGTTTGTTTGTACTTCGTTCATAGGTGGGGTAACAACCCTCCCACCTTTATTGTGGTTGGCAATAGTGCCTCAATGTTGGCTCCTAGAGGGCTGGGCCTGCGGCCCTTACTTGGTTTATGTTGTGGACGTGTATATGTTTGTCCACGTATAGTTGGTGACGTCCTGTGGCGTCTTAAGTGTGGGGTGGGCGGCTGCGGCCGTCTCACTAACCGGGTTGGCAGGGAGAAGGGTGGGGGCCCTGATCCCATTGCACGTCGACCCAGGGAAGTCCGGGGGGAGCTAGTAGCCCGGCTCCCTCGATGCCCTTTCGGGGCAAGGGAATGTCCTCTCCGGGGGGATACCTGTAGTATCCTCTCGGGGGATGTGTCCTACCTTAAGGACGCCGGTCGGGTGTCCACCGTGAAGTTATGCTAACGCGGTTCCGCGGTGGACAGTACCCATACGACCAGGGGCTTCAGTCAGGTTTTAGGTCGGTCCCCCGCCCGATAGTCCCTCGGGATACTACGGGCGGGAATCCACCACAAAGCCTCCTGACCCTCCCTCAGGGGTCAGGACGGCGAAGTTTGGTTTAGGCAAATTTCCTGACTATAAAAAAAAAAAAAAAAAAAGGTAGGTTAGGTTAGGTTAGGTTAGGTTAGGTTTCCCTCAGGGGCACTACAGACTCATCCCTGTAGTGTACGGGTGTCGCAATCCCGAGGTACCCGAGCTGGAGTGTGTGGTGATGGATGAACGAGGTGCGATGGGCGTGCAGGCCCTAAAAAGGACTTGTCCACTGCACTAGGTGAAGGAAAACACCGAAGATAACACCCGGGGGGGAGGCCCCGTTAGCTGAGTAAGGCAACCTCCTAAGGGGAAGGAAAACCCCCGACAGAAAAAACCAATTTCTTTTTTCAGATGATGAGCGGCTCAAAAAAGAAGAGACTGTCCTAGGGTCGGTAACTAGGAACCGGCGTGGGGGGGGTGTAGGCCTGGCTCCCCCCTCGTCGTCATCAGACGACAGGTCGTCCACGGATTTGCCGGCTGGGTCCGTGGATTGGAAAGCGACAGCGCCGAGGAGCAGGACAGAGGACGAGGTGGAGAACCGGCTCATCAAGCTGGCCATCCAGTGGGAGGATCGCGATAGGTCTGCTGATCCTAGGGACCTTGCGTTGGAGATGCGCCGGGTCCTTCAGGACGAGTCGGTGCGCGAGTTCCGGTATCTCGGGATATACCGTGCGCTGTCCCGATATGCCGGAAAGTTTTTGCGCAAATGCGCATCAGGTAAGACTGCGTTCTGCGGGGCGCATGAGTGTGTCCCTAGTGGATCATTGAGGGATCGTCCTCGGCCCCCCTCTCTGGAGAGGCTGCGTGGAGACAGCGATGAGGGGGCCCTTGAGGTCACTATGGGTGAAGACGCGTTGGGCGCTGCCTCTGCCTCCCCTGGGAGGTCGGATGGCGCGCTCGACGTGTCGGAGCCCGGATTGCGTCTTAGCCCGGTGGAGGTCCTCGACCGAGAGCAGATCCTGGCGAACAACTGCCGGGCTTATGCGGAGGAAGTCGAGAGACTTGAAGCTCGAGTTGCCTCACTGGAGGCTCAAAATGTGAAACTCCTTGAAGAGCTGGAGTTGATGAGGAGATTGGCTGCTCCCCTTCCTCCCTCTTCTGGGGAGAAGGAAGCGCCCCCTCGAAAGAGGAAGTCGCGGCGGAAGCGAAGTAGGGGGGCGGACTCTGAACCGGAAATTTCCGGTGAGGGGACTGCCTCTTCGGTTCGGGGACTCTATTTGAGCCCTCCTCTGATGTTGCTTTGCGGGATGACCCACACCAGCAGCTAATAGCGCGGGTGGGTCTCCTTATCGATGAGCGTCTTTCTGGGGCGCTTGGGGGCCTGAGGCGGGCTGTAGAGTCCCTCAGGTCCTCACTGGAGTCTCGGGGGAGTGGGGCAGTTCTGGCTGCCTCCGCTCCCTCTACCAGCGAGGTTTCCCCTGTCCTCTCCATGCGTAAGCGGGGGAGGCGGGGTCGTGGCGGTATATCGGCGGCCTGCTCTCCGGGGGCTGGGTTGCCTGCTTCATCGGCGACTGTTATGGTTGTCGGTGGGTCGGGTGGCCTGGGTCCTGGGGGGGCTCGGGCATCGGGCCCGGCGGTTGGCCCTGGGTTGGGTGCGCGTCGGGGCCGGGTTCGGGCTGCGCGGGTTCCGAGTGGGTCGGCCGTACAACTCGTTTCTACGAGGGGCCGGTCCTACTCGGACATTTTGAAGGAGGCGAAGTCGCGTGTTGACCCCGAGGAGTTGGGCATTGGCCCGATGAAGATGAGGTTTGGTGTGACTGGGGGCCTGCTTTTGCAGGTCCCTGGAAAAGACACGGCTGCGAAGGCGGATCTGTTTGCAGGCAGACTACGGGAGGTCTTCTCGGGAGGAGATGTGGTGGTCTCCCGCCCCCGGAAAACCATGGAGCTCAGGCTTCGTGGTACTATGGGGGAGGAGACTGCCTCGCGCGAGGAGATTTTGGAGGCGCTGGGATCTCTGGGGGGATGTGACGCGGGGGATATCCGGATCGGGTCGGTTCGGCCCTTGCCGCGGTCCCCCTTGAGCACCCTTTGGGTGCGTTGCCCGTTGGCTGTTGGCCGAAAGGCCTTGTCAACGGGTAGACTTCGGGTAGGCTGGAACACCCTGGAGGTCGAGGCGCTTCGTGCCCGGCCTCTGAGGTGTTTCAGATGCCTCAAACTGGGGCATGCGCGGGTAAATTGTGCGTCGGACGCGGATCGCTCGCGGTGCTGTTACCGCTGTGGTGTCGAGGGACACCAAGCGGCGGGTGCGTCGCCACTCCCCGTTGTCCGGCTTGCTCGGACGGTGGGGAGTCGGCTCGACATGTCCTGGGGGGTCGGGGGTGCGTTTCGTTCCCCCTTCCTCCCGGGCAACGATCATCCGGGGCGAGGGATAGGCGCCAGGCTCCGGGCCGTCCTGATGGGGACGACCTTTGGAGATCGCGGCTGCCTCAGCAGTTGGGTAATGTTGTTATGTCCTTTGTTATGTCCTTTTCATTAGGTAGCGGTGATGGGCTTGGGGCGCCGGGGAGGTTGCCGAAAGGTGACTCTGCGGCCCCCTTGTCCGCGCCAGGTATATGTGTTTTGTCTTAGTTTTCTTGTCCTTCGTCTATAGGTGGTGTGAACATCATGCACCACCTTTATATGTTTTTGGCTACTGTGCCTTTACTGTTGGCCCCTTGAGGGCTGGGCCTGTGGCCCCTATTTGGTTTCGTTGTGGACGTGTATATGTCTGTATATATGTTTGTCCACATAGTTGGTGACGTCCTGTGGCGTCTTAAATGTGGGGTGGGCGGCTGCGGTCGTCTCACTAACCGGGTTCGGCAGGGAGAAGGGTGGGGGCCTTGATCCCATTGCACGTCGACCCAGGGAAGTCCGGGGGGAGCTAGTAGCCCGGCTCCCTCCGATGCCCTTTCGGGGCAAGGGAATGTCCTCTCCGGGGGGATACCTGTAGTATCCCTCCGGGGGATGTGTCCTACCTCAGGACGCCGGTCGGGTGTCCACCGTGAAGTTATGCTAACGCGGTTCCGCGGTGGACAGTACCCATACGACCAGGGGCTTCAGTCAGGTTTTAGGTCGGTCCCCCGCCCGATAGTCCCTCGGGATACTACGGGCGGGAATCCACCACAAAGCCTCCCGACCCTCCCTCAGGGGTCGGGACGGCGAAGTTTGGTTTAGGCAAATTTCCTGACTATAAAAAAAAAAAAAAAAAAAAAGGTTAGGTTAGGTTAGGTTCCCTCAGGGGCACTACAGACTCATCCCTGTAGTGTACGGGTGTCGCAATCCCGAGGTACCCGAGCTGGAGTGTGTGGTGATGGATGAACGAGGTGTGATGGGCGTGCAGGCCCTAAAAAGGACTTGTCCACTGCACTAGGTGAAGGAAAACACCGAAGATAACACCCGGGGGGGAGGCCCCGTTAGCCAGGCAAGGCAACCTCCTAAGGGGAAGGAAAACCCCCGACAGAAAAAACCAATTTCTTTTCTAGATATGAGTAGCTCCAGAAAGAAGAGAACGTCCCGGGTCGGGTACCGGGAACCGGCGTGGGGGGGGTGTGCAGGCCTGGCTCCCCCTCGTCGTCAACATACGACAGGTCGTCCACGGATTTGCCGGCTGGGTCCGTGGATCGGAACACGACAGTGCCGAGGAGCAGGACAGAGGATGAGGTGGAGGACCAACTCATCCAGTTGGACATCGCCTGGGAGGAGCTGGGAGAGGACGACGATCCCACGATCTCGTAATCAAAATCCGGCACGTCCTCCAGGATGAGAACGTTCGTGCCTACCGTTGTTAGGTGTATACAGGCACCTGAAGGCGCACCTTCGAAATTATTCGAAGAAGTGCGCCTTAAAAATTATAGAGGAGGAGCCTGATCTCCGGACAAGGAGATGGAGGAGATCCGTGGGGACTCACCGCGGGATGTGTCTCCTAAGGTGAGTGGACTGGGTGACGGCGCATTGGGCGCTGCCTCTGCCTCCCCTGGGGGGCCTGGTGGCGCGCTTGATGTGTTGGAGCCCAGTATTCTCCATGGCCCGGTGGAGGTCCTTGACGGGGATCAAGTCCTGTCGGATAGCTGCCGGGCTCACGTAGAGGAGATCGAGAGGCTTAAGGACGCGTGGGTGAGCTGGAGGCGAGCAACCAAAAACTCCGCGAGGAGTTGGAGGTTGTTCGCGGTTTGATGGCTCCCCTTCCTCCCTCTTCTGGGAGAAAGAGGCGCCTCCTGCGAAGAAAAGATCGCGGCGGAGACGGGGCAGAGAGATTGTCTCTGAGCCGGAATTTTCTGGCAAGGAGACAGCCTCTGAGACGCGGAGGACTTTATTTGAGTCCTCTGATGCGGCTTCGGGGGGGATCCACACCAGCAGCTTCTAGCGCGGGTGGATCTCCTCATCGAGAGGCGCGTATCTGGGCGCTTGAGGGCCTGAGGAGGACTGTAGAGTCTCTCAGGTCCTCTTTGGATTTCCGGGGGAGTGGGGTGGATTTGCCTGCCCCCGCTCCTCCTGCCAATAAGGTTTCCCCTGTCCTTTCCACGCGTAGACGGGGGAGGCGGGTCGGGGTGTGAGTGGGGCGGTCTGCTCTTCTGGGGCTGGGTTGCTTGCCTCGCCGGCGGCTGTTATGGTTGCTGGTGGGTCGGGTTGCCCTGGTTCTGGAGGGGCTCGGGCGTCGGGTCTCGCGGCTGGCCCTGGGTCGGGTGCGCGGCGTGGGCAGTTGCTCGGGCTGTTCGTCCGAACGCGTCGGTCGTGCAGCTTCTGTCGACGGGGGTAAGTCCTACGCGGATATTTTGAGGGAGGCCAAAACCGAGTGAATCCCGAGGAGCTGGGTATTGGGCCCATGACGATGAGATTTGGAGTAGCCGGGGGTCTGCTTCTGCAGGTCCCGGTAAGAGTACGAAAGAGAAAGCGGACAGGCTCGCGGGCAGGCTGCGGGAGGTCTTCTCGGACGGGAGTGTGGTGGTCTCCCGCCCCCAGAAAACCATGGAGCTTAGGCTTCGTGGGACTATGGGGGAGGGGATCACTTCGCGCGAGGAGATCTTGGAGGCGCTGGGGTCTCTGGGGGGATGCAGTGCGGGGGACATCCGACTCGGGTCGGTCCGTCCCCTGCCGCGGTCTCCTTTGAGCACCTTGTGGTTGCGCTGTCCTGTATCGGTGGGCCGGGAGGTTTTGTCGTTTGGAGGGCTGAGGGTGGGGTGGAACACCCTCGAAGTAGAGTTGCTTCCCGCCCGCCCTCTGAGATGCTTCGGGTGCCTGGAGTTTGGCCACGTGCGGGCTAAATGCACGTCCGGAGTGGACCGTTCGGGCCTTTGTTACCGGTGTGGTGCGGCGGGACACCGAGCGCGGGGTGCGTCGTCGCACCCCTCGCTGTCCGACTTGTGCGGACGGCGGGAGGTCGGCTGACCATGTCCTGGGTGGGCGGGGGTGTAGTTCGCTCCCCCTCCACTCGGGCAACGAAACACCGGGGTGTGCGATAGGCGCCGGTCTCCGGATCGTCCCGATGGGGGACGGCCTATGGAGACTGAAGCTGCCTCGGCGTGCGCGAGGGCTCCGGGGCCCCCTGTCGGGGGGGCTCCCGATAGCCCCGAGTGGCTGGAGGTGGACTGCGGTCGGGGGCAGGGGAGGTCACGGAGAGGTGGCTCCCCTGTGCCGGGCTGCAGCTCTACTCCCAACGTCTAGTGTTGTTTTTGTAAATTAGTCGTAGTGTGTAGCGGCGGATGCGGGGGTTCCGGGGAGGTTGCCGTTAGGTGACTCCGTGGTCTCCCTGCTCCGCCAAGTTTATGTTTAGTAGGTAGCGGCGATGGGTGCTGAGTGTCGGGGAGGTTGCCGAAAGGTAACTCCGCGGCCTCTTCACCCGCGCCAAGTTTATGTTGTGGTTTAGTGTCGTCTTCGTTCATAGGTGGGAGTTACAACCCTCCCACCTTTATTGTGGTCGGCCTCTGTGCCTTATCGTTGGCCCTAGAGGGCTGGGTCTGTGGCCCTTATTTGGTTTTGTTGTGGACGTGTATATGTTTGTCCACTTAGTTGGTGATGTCTCGTGACGTCTAAGTGTGGGGTGGGCGGCTGCGGCCGTCTCACTTACCGGGTTCGGCAGGAGAGGGGTGGGGGCCCCGATCCCATGGCACGTCGACCCTGAAGTCCGGGGGGAGCTAGTAGCCCGGCTCCCTCCGATGCCCTTTCGGGGCAAGGGAATGTCCTCTCCGGGGGGATACCTGTAGTATCCTTCCGGGGGATGTGTCCTACCTCAGGACGCCGGTCGGGTGTCCACCGTGAAGTTATGCTAAAACGCGGTTCCGCGTGGACAGTACCCATACGACCAGGGGCTTCAGTCAGGTTTTAGGTCGGTCCCCCGCCCGATAGTCCCTCGGGATACTACGGGCGGGAATCCACCACAAAGCCTCCCGACCCTCCCTCAGGGGTCGGACGGCGAAGTTTGGTTTAGGCAAATTTCCTGACTATAAAAAAAAAAAAAAAAAAAAAAAAAGGTTAGGTTA